AGAGTCATGCTATATCAACTCAAATTCTTTGAAATGAGATTTCAATATGATGTATCAGGGCACTAAAACTTTGCAACTTTCTGAGTACAATTAAAACTACATAAAGAAGGAGGGGTGCTTTCTGTAACAAGGTTGGAGGTTAATTAAAAAAGAACACACGTATAAGAAAAAGAAAGCCTAATCACCAGGATACATGGCGTCGTTTTTTATGGTACCAATATGAAAACGTTTAAAGCTGTCAAGATATGTCAGAAGCTTGCAGGAAATGAGTCCAGAGTAAGTTTCGAACAGTGTACATTCTTTCCCATCATTAATTTCCTTCCATGCCAAGGGCATTTCGGCATCAGTAGTTTCTGAAGATGTGAAGATGAACTTATAGCAACATCTGTTGTATCTGATGTGTCTTTTCCCAGAAAACCTTGAACTGTGGATGGGTATAAGGCCAACAAACTTGGCACAAATTCCTACAAACACATCAGCAGGCACCATAATGGGTACTTCTTTGAAAACTATATACATCATCCGAGCCACATCTTGGGACATAATAAAGGCCTCACCACTACAGTAATCTGGGTAGTACTTTTCTGGGTATTCAATAAGAGGGACAAATTCTTGACTAGTAGGGTCTCTATTGGGCATATCCTGATGGATCACTCTTCCTACATAGATATCTTCAAGGTGTTCTTTCAGATTGAGAAGATAATTTACCAAGCTTAGTAGATTGACAAACATATCTTCATCAACTTTGAGAATGAATAAGGCGTTAGGGCAGAAAGTCACAGCCCACTGCGTCATTGTGATGATCTTTAGAGTTTGGTTCTCAGCACTGTCCAAAAAGATTCCTTCGATTATATCGTTATTCTTATAGGACTCTTTGTCTATCTCTTGCTGGGTAGTTGCCAAAATAGGCATTCCCAAAGCAAACAGTGTGAGAATGGGATGCCCTTGGACACTGGTCATGTTACCCCAGGTTTTTCTGATGAGGTCCCGTCTTGTTCGATTCCCAGGGCTACTGAAGATAAGAGAGAGCAAAAATATGTTCTTCCCTTTACAGACCTCCGACTGGCTCAAGATATAATATTTGGAAAGGTTACTTCTTAGGGGCTCCATGTTCAATTTTCTTGCTTTATCCTTAATTTCAAGAACTTTCATATCTACATAAGGCAAAGCATGCAGAAAGTATTCTTCCACAAAATCAGCCCCAAAAAACAAGGCATGAAATAGGATAACATTAAACAGAATGAAACACCACTGGTGAGTCCGAAGTCTGCAGAATGTCACCTAAATAAGAAAAGGACACATGTTCATTCAACCTTCATCTCCATTTCTGTTTTTGCCGCCGCCCCCCCTCCCCCCATCAAACACTATATCACTTACAACACTTAGTGGTACACTACTTTAAGTGTTTTTGTTAATCTGTCCCCAGCTAGATCATGGCCTTCTGGACAGCAGGCATCATGCCTATCTCTTCTCCATAGTGTGAGGTCAGTGTTTGGCACTAAGTGGAAACGGAATAAAATATTAGTTTTTTTCTCGCCTGTTTGGATGAGAGCCTGCTTACTATATACCAGGCTCTGTGTCAAAGCCAAGAGTCCTACATAGGCACATGGATATAAAGTAACAAGTGGCATCATTGTGCTAAAAGCCTATAGGAAAATACATGCTGTTCTTCCTGGAATTGAAGCTCTTGGATCAGTTTCTTCTCTAATTACAAAGGTCAAGGGCTAATTTTCAATGACATAGTTGCTTTTGTTGGCCACTGCATAATGGCTACTATCAAACATTTACATTATTCCAGTATGACTTTTCAACTTACTCTAATACTTGATTCTGACATTGTCTGTCTTGACAAGGTTCCTTAATCCACCTGACATGTCTGTCAATATGGGCAAATTCCTGCTATCTGCTTAGCACCCCATTCAGAGATCTAGGACGGAATGGTGCCAAGCTTCCGTCACTTTATCAAAGGAGATGGCAACTTTCCATTTAGAAGAGTATATGCAGTATTGTAATATAATAGATCCAGGAAACATTAAAGGAATTAAATCTCTGTTCATTGGCGCTTCCATCAACAAAACCTCCCATAATAATAGGTACCTCTTATTGAACACTTGTCGTGGGCCAGTTGCATGCCTTAATCATTTAGCCATGGCAATATCCCTTTCAAATAGGTTTTTCAAAGTTAAGCTGAGCATTGAGCTGTTGAGTAATTTGCCCAAGATCATTCAATGCGTAAGGGGGTGAAGTGCGGCCATGATTTGAACTCAAGTATGTCAAATTCCAAAGCTCGCTCTTAACCACTAGAGCAGCAGTTCTCAAGTTGTGGGTCGCGACCCCTTCGGGGGTGGCCTAAGACCATCGGAAAATACATATATAATTACATATTGTTTTTGTGATTAATCACTGCTTTAATTATGTTCAATTTGTAACAATGAAAATACATCCTGCATATCAGATATTTACATTACGATTCATAACAGTAGCAAAATTACAGTTATGAAGTAGCAACAAAAATAATTTTATGGCCGAAACGGTTTGGCTTAGTGGATAATTGTGTAGGAGGCAGCTGATTGGTGTTTCTCTCTCAATCGATGTTTCTAACTCCTATCCCTCTCCCTTCCTCTCTATAAAAAAAATCAATAAAATATATCTTTAAAAAAAAATAATAATTTTATGGTTGGGGGTCACCACAACATGAGGAACTATATTAAAGGGTCACGGCATTAGAAAGGTTGAGAACCACTGCACTAGAGAATCCTGACTCCTATCTTTTACTTTTCCATGTCTGTTGAACAGGAAAAAACAACCAAACCAAAGTCCTGATATTAGAATCTGAATTCTTTTCCATTTTCTCAGTGCTGATTATTTGTACATAGAAGAAACTCCAGCCACCTCAAAGGCTATTGTAATAGATAGCAAATGCTTCAGAGATTATAAGAAACTTACCTGCATGTTGTCTGTGAGCAATTTCAGGGCTTTGAAAATTACTGAGTCCAGATGCCAAATTATGCCCAAATGTGTCTCAGGATCAAGGCAGTCTAACAGCAATTGAAGTAAAGTACTTGGTGCCTCAGACTTTAAGGATAAGGTTTCTAGCCAATCAACCTAAGCTTTTGTCCCAGAATACCTACTGGCTATATAGGAGAGCAAGCGCTGATCATGTTACAGCTAGAGTGAATCCAGAACAAAGAGTTAAAAAAAAAAAAGGCAAACCTCTTCAAATGCTTCCACTCTTCTTTACCTCTTGAAACTGACCCTTTGTCTTTATGCCAGTTTCTGGTGAAGTATGCCTGGGAGTTGAAAGAACAGTTCACCCACACCCCCTCTCCACAGCATCATCACACAAGGAAAAATGTCACATAGTGTTTTTGGAGTGCATCTCACACAACTGAACAGTTGAAGTAATTCATGCCCTCCACACATGCATGTGCAAGAAAGGTACTAAACATCCAGGAATATGTGTCATACCAGTGGGTGCAATTTTTTCTCCCCATATAAACAAATGGTGAGGTTTGGGATATGTTTCATTGGGAAGGATTTTGAATTCCTAGTGTAGGGCTATGAAAGAGCTTTACTAAATCATGTGTCATCCAACTACCTCTCCCAGGTAACTATCCCAGAATGGAAAATAACATGTAGTCTATTTTAGCCTGAATTGAAGAGACTGAGCATTTGATATTTAGCATTAGCTATTTTCCTAGAGCATATATATGTAGGAAGTATCGCAAACATTGTTTCCACCAGTAAGTTTATTTTCAGGAAAGAACAACATCCAGCATATTTTCATGTTTCTGTCACAGAAGCGGTTGTGCTGAGCACTCTGTTATCTGACCAGGCTATTTTTTTTCTCTTTCTTCTTTTCACATGTTGATCTTCCCACTGGCTATTTGCATCAGTTTTTGTAATTACATGACCAGGAATAACTCATTACATTTAAAGTTGTCTAGGTTTTTCTCAACGATCATTGCTTAACATTGGAACTTTTTACAAAGTTGGAAAACCTAACCTTGAAAACCATTCAAATGAAAGGGATTTTTTACATATACTAAATCTAACAATTAAGTAGGTCTTAGAGATATTTAATTAAACACATCCTATTTTGCAATTTTCTTTTCATTTTTTATAGAGCCATATATTTTGCTCCTGGGTCTCCTCTGAGCTTAAACTTAGAGAATTTGGTTTCTTTGTCCATAAGAGTTTCAAACAATATATTGCCTCTGGAGCAGCTCCATCTGGAATTTCCAGTTTGAGTCATCAAACTTCTACCATATTTGGATCGAGACTGCTGGAAACATATAGAGGTGTTTGGTTTTCTTGATTACCTTAGTTAGTACTGCCTTCCCTTTCATGAAGGTTATCTGATCTGTGTACTTGTGTCTTCCTAAATTTTCTTATAATGTCAACAGTGACTCTCTGTCTTAGAAGCCTGCAGAGTCATCCTGTTGCCTACTAAATCAAATTTTCTCTCTTGAGACTTGACTTTCAGGACATCATACTTGGCTCCACCCCACACAGTCTTTTTAAAAAAAATTTCTTTATTGATTAAGGTATTACATATGTGTCCTCATCCCCCTATTGCCCCCCCCCCACAGTAATTTTTTATTTCCCATGTTTCAAGTACTGTAGATGGACTCAGGCTATTTGGAGCCCTGCTCTACCACTAACTGTATATGTGATTGTCTTACATCTGTATTATGTGTTATGCCTATATCACTCAACTGAGCTGTTCAGTATAGTAGCCATTAGCCACATGCCAGCGCCCCAGGGCCTGGGACCTCACGCAGGGTCCACACCAACCATTTAATTATTTTTGTTGCTTTTGAGAGAGAGAGAGAGAGAGAGAGAGAGATTTGTTGTTCACTCTTGGTTGATTCTTATATGTGTGCTGATCAGAGACCATGCATATTGGGATGGTGCTCTAACCGATTGAGCTACCAGCCAGGGTCAAAACTCCAATTAATTAAAATTAAATACAACTAAGATTTTATTTCCTTAGTCACATTAGGTAATTTTCAAGTGTTTGAGAGCCACCAGAGGTTACCAGCTGTCCTATTGGATAGCACAGATAGAGAATATCATTGCTGAAAGACCTGTTTGGACACTGCTGGGCAAGATGCATGTAAATGTGTGTGTGTGCGCGCGCACATGTATGTGAGATTTATGAGCCCTTACGAAGAGATAAGGATACTTATGCTCTGAAGGTCTATGTTGAAATATTCTTTTGACCTGGGTTGCTCCATCTCTACAAATGAGCTGATAATAGTAACTAGCATCTAGGGTTGTGGTGGGAATTGAGTGCTATAACATAAAAAGTAGCTTGACACTAAAGACTGTTTTATCTCCTTAGTTCCCAGAACGATCAGATGAGGAAAATAAAGCCAGAGGTTAAGTAACCATGCTGGGGCACAGCCAGAGTGTGTAAGAGTTGAGGTTCAAGTATCATCTCTCTTCTTTCCCTCACCAACCTTAATTTTTCGCCTTAGCACTTGCTAAAGTTTGCGTCATGTCTTATTTATCTGTCTGTCTCTTCCACTAGGAGATAAGCCCCAGAAGGCCAGGATTTTTGTGCTTTTTGTTCACTAACCCTTATCTTCTTGGCAGTGTTTGGGACACAATAGGTGCTTAGTAGGTTGTTTGACTTTGGACACGTCTCTTAACTTCTCTTCCCTCTCCTCCATGAAGTGAGGATAACAGAAAAAGTGCCGCAGAGTTGGAGCAAAATCAGATTGGAACATAAATGCGCTGGCTATGTTCCGATATTCTGGAAATAAGCTTAGGTCCAGGCTCCGCAACTGTCGAGAGAGCCGCACTGCGCATGCTCCGCCACCCTCGCCGCTCTCCTCAGCCTGCTGCTTCCCCCTTGAGGCGGGGGCCGGAAGTGCAGCCGCGTCCGCTGGGCGCCGCGGGCGGAGGGACGCGCGGAGATGACGCAAGCAGCACCGGAAGCCGCTCCCGGGTTAGGTTGCGGACGGAGAGCGGCGGCCGCGGGTCCAGGTCTGTTCTGTATACGAGGCGGGGCCTGTCGGGGAGGGGGGTCGCAGCCGCCCGCGCTTCTGCTGCCCCGCCGCACCTCCGGCCCTTGTTCTCTTCTCCCTGCAGGCGCCATGGCTGTGGAGCGGACCCAGCCGCTGCGAGGCTCTGGCGGCCCGAGCGCGCCTGGTCGGTGTGGGCCCTGCGCGAGGTCCCGGGCCCTGGGGCGCTCGCTCAGGTCAGTGCCGCGCGGAACACGCTCCCGGAGCCGGGGACCTGGGAGCGACAGACGGGTGGAAGGGCTCTGGAGTTGATGTTAGACTTGGGAAAATTGAGCCTCGGAGTTACTGCCTCGGTTTCCTTAGCTGCGAAATGCGTTAGCAGTGACGTTCCAGGGCTGCCCTGAGGTTGAAAGATGAAGTGTCGAGAGGTGTATGAAGTGCAAGCGCTGTACTAACGTGAGGGACTGCGCCATAGTTGTGGGTATGCCATGGAAACAGGTGTGTATGTGGGGTGCTGCTTGAAATAAAGGTAACGGTATTCATGCCGATAATAATGGTTACTGGCATTTCTTGTAGGCTTACTAGTGTGTCAGGTACGGTGCTCAACGCTTCACATACATTATCCTACACACAAACACCCTGGTAGGCAGCGTTGTTCATGGTTACAAGTGGCTACAACTCAGTTTGACAAGTGAGGCAACTGGGCTTTTGCAACAGGTGACGTGCTTTGCCCAGGGTCACCTGACAGCAAGTGGAGTTGCAGAGCCCTCCATATATATAAATGGATAGTATATTCACGTAGTTTTCAATTCAAAAAAAGGGGCCCCTTCCTCCTGTTCCTCAGCTCTTCAGTTTTCTCTGGAGACAACCAGTGTTACCAGCTTCTTGAATATTGAAAAGCTGTTCTGTGTCTGTGAACGCCTCTGTACTTTTTAACTGCTGATTATGCTCGATAAGAGGGGAAGATGAAGCCTCCTCCCCCCAAACAAAGGTCTTGATTTTGCTCTTGACTAGGCCAGGTGCTGGTGGAGGAGAGGAAAATGCATTCACCATGTTTTACCCAGAATGTCATGTCTCTAAGTAAGACCTAGAGGTAGAGGTTTTGTTTGGGGAGGGTGGGGGCAGGGCAAGATGTTGATCCTGCTGCTGTCTGTGGGACCCTCGGAAAGTCACTCCACTTCTTGGGCCATAAATTTCCTCATTTATTAGTTAAGGGCAGTAGTACTGACACCTTACACAAGGTTGTGAAAACCAAATGAAGTAATGTCTATGAGTAGACATTAAACCAAAACAAATAGGAGAGTTGCCTAAGGGAACATAGGGGGTTAAAAGGGCAGAACCAGAGACCAAACCCAGGTCTCCCATCTCCCAATTTAAGAGTCTTTTTCATCATACCGCCCATTTCAGAGCTTTGTGATTGTTAATATTGAGGGCAGGAGGGCAAGTTTAATCTTGAATGGAGGGGAAAAGGGCAAGATAGCACGAGTGTGCGCAAAGTGGAGAGAAAAATACACCTGGTGGGAAACTAGCCCCAACTTGATAATGGCCCTTAATTATTAAAATTAAATGCCCAGTAAGTTTGAGCCCTTGAGTTTTTCTTCCATATATCAAGCCATTTTAAGAGAAACTGTGTGATACGATCATAGAGTTCAAAGGGATGTTAGTGCTCATGTCCCTTTCAGCCTCAGGGTCACTACAAACTTGCCTGCTAGGTGTTTATGATAATAAAACTAACAAAAGTGCCATTTGAGTTACTGAGCTCTGTGCTAAGCATGTCCCTGCCCTGTTTCTGATTTTCACAACTCTCAGGGTGAATGATAGCTCAATCAGTAAAAATTTTGACTGTAAAGCATTTTCATTTTGCCTTTGTATTCAATTGTCTTTGACTGTTCCCAGTAATGGGAAGCTCACCACTGTGGAGGCAGCTATTCCATTATTAAAAAGCTCTGATGATTTAAAAGCTCCTCCTCACGTTGAATGGAAATTCTGCTTCCTGAAGTTCTTCCCCTCGGGGCCTTATGCTGCTAGTATATAACACATACTCCTAGAAGCTTTCTTCTAAAAGTGTTCAGTTTAGCCTGTGGCCTTAAGAAAATTCCCTCCAAAGTTAGTTAATTTTTTTAGAGAAGTAAAAACTGGTGTTTTGTTTTTTTTCATGATGCAGACAATGTTTAATAAATAGAATTCCATTCAATATACAGCTATAGGGATACCAAACTAAACTGTTCTTGTTGTCTATGGAAAAGCTCAAGAAGAAATCAGAATGGTGTTTTTTAATCATGCGTTCTACTGAGTTAATGGGCTTGCTTGATTAAAATAAAGATTCTTCTTTTTATTTTTCATGACAGTCAGAGATGAAGAACTGGAAAAGAGCCACCCATAAGGGGTTCAGTAGCTTAAAGGGCAATCTCTAATTGTAAGGATTCGGGGGAAAAATTTTCTTAGGAGTTAGGAGAATACATAATTCTTAGAAATGGCTGGTGTTTTTTTTAATAATGGTGCTCACTGAAAATCTTGTTCCTCAGTCTTCTGTGTTGTCATGAGCACATGGCATGCTGTAGGATGTCTCTTAAATAAGAATAATGGGAACCTGATCATATTTTCCTGGGTATTATAAATTTGTCTTGTGGCCATTTAAATAACAATTCCGTTTTCATAAATGTAAGCATTTTTATAATGGATTTGTGGAAAATTTTGTGTGTGTAGGTGTTAGAGGAAACCCTATTCCCTTTTTCACTAAAAAATTATTCTGGCAGATGTTTTGATGTATGTTTTTAATTGGCCAGTATTAAGTTATTAGCTGTTGTGACATTGTATAAATGTTCATCTAAAAGAGTTGTTTTTGTCTTGCTATGAATGCTTTTTTTAAACTAAAAATATTTTTGAAGTGTTATAGATAGATTGATTGGTAGGATTGAGAAGTAAGAGTCTTATCTTGTTTTAAGTTGATAAAACTTTTGGTGAATTGATTATTTTTTGGCAGCCAAAAAAATCCTTTAATTAATAAATAAATTCTACCTAACCCAAACCCTGAGACTTCAAGAGCATTATTTTAAAGTCTATTCACTCCTCTAAAAAACAAAACTAGATGATATAATTGGTTGCTTCTACTTTTTTTGCCCAATAACATTCTTGCCAAACTTGATATTGGGAAAATTAATAAAAATGGTTTTTACTCAGCTTGCATAAAGGTAGAAGATGAGATCTAGCTTTTTGTGTAGACCTGATCTAGGTGACATATATAAAAAGGAATTTATTTCCCTCTTCCATATTAATTTGGACATACATTTTAAAAATGAGTTTGATAATCCGGTGGGAAATTGATCAGATTAGAAGGAATGGTTTTTTTTCTTTTTTTAATCATGGAAATGTTAAACATGTAAAAAGAAAGAGAATAATAAATCTTCATCACCCAGCACTAACATCTATCAACACACGGCCAATCTTGGGGAAAATGGTTTTTACTGATTTGCTTTATTTTTGTTCTTTTTCCAATAGTTTAGTCCCCATTGTTAGGAGTGATTTGACACCTTGCCACACTGTGTAATGCTGGATACTGCAAATTTTTTTTGTTCCCGTTAGCCTTGGAGCAATTTGTCGTTTTCCTAAGGGGTGGTATAATCACAAAGGCACAGTGCCCCCAGATCAAGTTACAAGGTTGGGATGCTCCTGGTTATAGCTGACTTCAGAGAGAGACAGTTTGATCTTGTTGGAAAATTACTGATCTTGAGAGCATTGGCTTCCAAGTCTGTTCTGCTGTTTTAGTTCTGTTGACTATAGGCAAATCACTTATCTCCTCTGATCTGTAACTTCCTTGTCTGCACAGTGGAGGTGAGGATACCTGGGTTTTGGTGTTTTGTAAGTATCAGGAATATTTATTTGTTCAGACATCTAAGACCCACATAACTCTGGGGCACATGGTTAAGAGTTGTCACCAGTTCACATGAGGCTTATAAAAAATAGACTATGTAAGGCCAGATAGGGCTTTTGGTAATTCATGTTCTAACAGGCAGTGCCATAAAGGAAGTGGAAGAACCAGAATACCTGAGCTACCTAACTTATTAAATCTGTGTATTTTTCTTCCCCAAACATTTATGCCTGTACATCTATTACAAAAGCCAGTAATGAGTTCTGTGATTTTGGTAACAGGTCAGGTTGTGTCTAGCATGATAACTAATGTGTCAGGTTACTGCTCTAGACTCGCTTTCTGGTTGTCACATCATGGTGCTTATTTTTGTGATTTTAATGCCTAAATAGAAATTATTAAGGGAATCATGTTATGATTTTGATGAAGGAGGGATATATTATGTAAAATACATTGTTTCATTATGAATGAATGCTTTGTAAATCTTTGAAAATGCATGTAGCATGTGCTAGACTTCAAAAGGAGCAAATCACACACATCAACATAAGTTTCATTGACTTATGTTTCGGAGATCATGATTTGTTAAAGAATGTTTTCTCAAATGTATTTTCTTTTGTGTGCATGGAAAAATGTCGATACAGTGTATTAACTGTTAAGTTGTAATGTTGTAACTAAGCATAAAGTTGTAATGCCAAAATTTTTATACTAATTTTTAATACTTCATTTGTTAGTAGTCTTGCTTGAACGGTCTTTTGAGCAGAACTAATACAATATTTTGATGTGCCACAGGTAAATTTTTCCATAACCTTATGGAGAGAAAGGACTTTGAGACATGGCTTGATAACATTTCTGTTACATTTCTTTCTCTGACGGACTTGCAGAAAAATGAAACTCTGGATCACCTGATTAGTCTGAGTGGGGCAGTTCAGCTCAGGCACCTCTCTAATAACCTGGAGACTCTCCTCAAGCGGGACTTCCTCAAACTCCTGCCCTTGGAGCTCAGTTTTTATTTGTTAAAATGGCTCGATCCTCAGACTTTACTCACATGCTGCCTCGTCTCTAAACAGTGGAATAAGGTGATAAGTGCCTGCACAGAGGTGTGGCAGATTGCATGTAAAAATTTGGGCTGGCAGATAGATGATTCTGTTCAGGACGCTTTGCACTGGAAGAAGGTTTATTTGAAGGCTATTCTGAGAATGAAACAACTGGAGGACCATGAAGCCTTTGAAACCTCATCATTAATTGGACACAGTGCCAGAGTGTATGCACTTTACTACAAAGATGGACTTCTATGTACAGGTAAGGGACCCTGGAACTGTTCTCCCCCTGCCCCCTGCCTCCCAATAGTGATTTTGGGGAAAAACTAGTTCAAAAGTTGAGTTTAGTCCAAGCAAGTAGTAGTTAGATCTTCGTGGAAGAATTACATAACCTTCTCTGTGTTTTGTTTCCTTCTTTGTCTGTACTGGTTAGGAAGGGATGTCTGTCTCTCTTGTTTTAAATTCCTGTGGTGCTAAGAAGAATTAGAAGTTAAGAGTTTGGGCATGGGAAGAAATACAGTGGATATTTTAACTAGGCCAGTGGTCGGCAAACTCATTAGTCAACAGAGCCAAATATCAACAGTACAACGATTGAAATTTCTTTTGAGAGCCAACTTTTTAAAACTTAAACTATATAGGTAGGTACATTGTTATTAACTTAATTAGGGTACTCCTAAGGCTTAGGAAGAGCCACACTCAAGGGGCCAAAGAGCCGCATGTGGCTCACGAGCTGCAGTTTGTCGACCACTGAACTAGGCAGTTAAATAACTTTATATAACACTAGAGGCTTGGTGCATGAAATTCATGCACAGGTGGGGTCCCTAGGCCTGGCTAGTGATCAGGACCTATTGGGGCGGGCCAGCCAGGGAGGTTGGCTGGCTGTGGGAGGTTGGCTGTGGGAGTGCACTGACCACCAGGGGGCGGCTCCTGCATTGAGCATCTGCCCCCTGGTGGTCAGGGCAAATCATAGTGATTAGTCATTTCAGTTGTTCTGGTTGTTCTGGTTGCTTAGGCTTTTATGTATATAGGTATCATTAAAATTTAAGATTTTGTATATCTTCCAATTATAATGGGTATGTGTTTCTACAAATGATTATAATCACTGCCCACATTTTAAGCAGTACATTTTGACAGGCATTGTAAATCTTTTTATTTTTTAAAATATATTTTATTGATTTTTCACAGAGGAAGGGAAGGGGATAGAGAGTTAGAAACATCAATGAGAGAAAAACATCAACCAGCTGCCTCCTGCACACCCCCTACTGGGGATGTGCCTGCAACTGAGGTACATGCCCTTGACTAGAATCGAACCTGGGACCCTTGAGTCCGCAGGCTGACGCTCTATCCACTGAGCCAAACGGGTTAGGGCGTAAATAATTGTTAGTGTTTCAGATGACTCTCAGCAGTTCTTATAAATGATCCCAATACGTATTCACTTTCATTGTGTATAATATATAGGGATACTCTGTGTTCTTTCTTCATCCAAGATAATTTCTAATAAATATTTGAGTATTTCCTAAATTATTAAACTATTTTTCATAATATATACTGTTCTTTTGTGTAAATAAATCATTATATAGCCATTTCCATTTAGTGCATATTCAATGTTTTGTTTGCATATTTTCCTTTTGAATTATTTATTTGGGGGAGAAGCCTCAAGGTAGCATCACCAGATCCAGAAATATGAATGATTTTATAGCTCCTCTTAATATCCTTTCCAGATAGGTTGAATTGATGCCATGCCTACAGCAGTCTTAAATAACCTGCTTCTCCCTCAGAGTTCTACCAGGCTGCATTTTAACATTTATTTTAAAATATTTACATATATCTATTAAAGAGGGGTGGAGAGAGAGAGAAACAACCATTGGTTACCTCCCCCACCAGGGCTGAGGATGGAATCCAGGTACATGCCCTTGACTGGGAATCAAGAGGCTCTAACTACTTAACCATACCGGCCAATTTTAATATTTTTAATAGTTAAAAGATACATTATTTCGCATGATTGTTTTAAATTTTTATTTCTTACTCATGAGGATATACATTTTGTTATATTACCCCAAATAGTTTGTTTTATAAAATAAACATTAAATGTAAGGCACTTCCTGGTTTTGTTTGTCATACTGAAGTTACTCCGTGCTTATGCTATTTTCCTATAAGACTGATTATTGGAACATCATCTGTTCTTTTATACTTTAATGTACTTTCCCAGTTGTGGTGAGGGCTTTTCCATGTCCTTTTTGCCTCATAATCAATGGCAGGTATTTAAAAAATTATTTTAAAGCTTGAGATGCAGTGTTAACTCATTCGTACTTAGGTAAATACTGACAGTTGACTCATTTTCAGAACCACCTCTAGCTTTAAAAAATCTCATCAAACTTTACATTTTTGTGTGTGCGTTAATCCTCACTGAGGATTTTTTTTCCATTGATTTTTTAGAGAGAATGGAAGGGAGAAGGAGAGACAGAGAGAGAGAGAAACATTGATTGGTAGCCTCCTGCACATGCCCCGCCAGCACTGGGGATCGAGCCTGCAACCAAAATAAATAATTCAATTGAACCTGCTACCCTTCAGTCTGTGGGCCAATGCTCTCCCTACTAAGCAACTGGCCAGGGCTCAAACTTTACTTTTGAAGTACAATAAAAACTCCACTTACTTGAAACAGAAGTAAATGGGACACATTCACTGAATTATTTAACTACCCAGAAAGTTAATATTTATAAAAACTGGCCCAATCTTGCATTTTGTAATTATTCTCTTCTATGTTCTGTTATTTTTATTCTGATTAAATTAATCAGGTTAGTGTATTGGAAGTCATGCTGTGTCTGTTGAAAATAATCCAAAGCATTCATTTAATTTTTTCTAATGTAGCATCCCTGGGACTGTTATTAGTGAGAAAAATATTTGTTACAGAATTACAAAGGCATACCTTGTTTTATTGAGCTTTGCTTTAGTGTGCTTCACAGATACTGCCTTTCCCCCTCACCCCCATAAATTGAAGGCAAAACCCTATACCCATGGTCGGCAAATTGCGGCTCGCAAGCCACATGTGGCTCTTTGGCCCCTTGAGTGTTGCTCTTCCTAAGCCTTAGGAGTACCCTAATTAAGTTAATAACAGTGTACCTACCTATATAGTTTAAGTTTAAAAAATTTGGCTCTCAAAAGAAATTTCAATTGTTATACTGTTGATATTTGGCTCTGTTAACTAATGAGTTTGACGACCACTGCCCTATACTAGCAAAAAGATTGACTTGCTCAGTGTATTTTAGCAATAAAGTATTTTTTAATTAAGGTATGTTGTGTGTTTGTTTTGACACATGCTATTGCACACTCAGTAGACTACAGTATAGTGTAAAAACTTCTATATGCACTGGGAAACCAAAAAATTTGTGAGACTCACTTTATTGCAGTGGTCTGGAACCAAACTTGCAATATCTCTGAGTTATGCCTGTGAAGTGTTTGTGTCATCTTGTCACTTAGCTTGTATTTTTCACTGTGATTGAATTGAAATTCTTAATTCTTAATTGAAATTCTTAATTTGGAAATAAGCTTATAGTGTCTCTCAGATTAGCCCTTTGAACAGTAATAAAATGATATTGCCATAAAGATTGATGGCTAATGCTAAAATTAACATGGGATAGATAGAATGAGGTAATTATTGTGCTCATTTTTGAAATGGTAAGAAAGGGACCTGTTGTATTTTGTGCTGTTCAGTAAGCATTTATTTTTAAAATGCCTTCTATGTGAAAGACAATATAAAGATATACATAAATAAGTTGGAACAGAGAATACACATACTGGGATCAAGAAGGTAACCTGGTTAAGTAGAACTCTCCACATGGACTATGGCTAGTCAGAGAACACCTGCCGTTCTAGAGAGGGTAGCTGCTGCTTCACTGTCGTGAATTATTGCTATGTGGGATTCAGGCTCAGAGTTGTCAGATCTGACTTAAGAGAAGCCTGCAAGCTGCCGTATTGTGACATCTGGCTTATAGTCAAATAAGAAAAACAAGAGCTATACAAGAAGTATGACCAAATGATTTAGTTGAAATGTGTAAAAAGGAAATTCATGTAGTTCAGAAGGAGTGATTTCCATTTGAGAAAATGGAGCAGTGGTTTCTGTTGAGTCTTGAAGAATGGGTAGACTTTAGAGAGGTGAGATTCAAAGTAGAGCTTTCTGCTAGAAAGATCAGCATTAGCAAATATATGACAGGGCTGAGCATAGAGAATGTAGGAAGAAAATTCATGTTAGCTGGACTTCTAGGATATAAGTAGGGACTCTATAAGTGGCTCTTAGAATGTAAAGAAATAGGCTTAGGTGTGTTGTGAAAGCCTTGCATGCTGTGAACATGAGTTTGGACAGTTTTCTATAAGCAGGAAGAAAAAAACTATGAAAGATTTTTTAGCAGAAAAGGGCCAGAGAGTCAGATTTTCTGCTTCAAGTAGACCAGTGTTTATTATTTGTCAGTCCCAGGGCCTCTTTTTATAACATACTTTAGGGTAGTTTCATCTTAAAATAAAATTCATAGAAATAATTTATCTACATGTACACCTATTTTAAAAATCAATATAATGCCTAAACTCTGTTTCAGAGGAGAAATAAGGCTGTAATTTAAAATAGTACACGTTAAACATATAGCGCGCAAGCATAGCTATGCTAGAAAACAGTAATCAGATGTTTGCGCTTCTATCTACTGACGGTGAACATGATAGCTATAAATGCAGAACATTGTACTTGTGTCACAGATACCATCAGTGGTGTGATTTCTCAAATGATGGAAAATGCTTAGCAAGTTCCCAAAAAAAACAAAGTATATTTTTCCTCAGTTTACTCTTAGAAAGAGTAGTTGCACTCTTAGAAAATTCAGAATAAACTGCAAATATGCTTTGTAAAACAGATTCTAGGCTCAGATAACTAAGAATAAGCTTTCCATTTATGGATATCTGGCCAAACCTTTAAGAATGTCATGCAGCCGAGATCGGTTTGGCTCAATGGATAGAGCGTCGGATTGTGGACTGAGGGGTCCCAGGTTCGATTCCGGTCAGGGGCATGTGCCTGGGTTGCGGGCACATCCCCAGTGGGGGATGTGCAAGGGGCAGCTGGTCGATGTTTCTCTCTCATCGATGTTTCTGACTCTCTGTCTCTCTCCCTTCCTCTCTGTGAAAAATCAATAAAATATATATTTAAAAAAAAAAAGAATGTCATGCAAACTACAGGATAATTGTTTTGTGCACTGTCCCAATCATTGCAGTATGTCTAACATTCCTGGCCTCTGCCCAGTAGATGCCAGTAATAGCCCTCCACCCCCTAAATCATTATGACAATTGAAGCCACCCCAAAGAATTTCTAGCATGTCCTCTTAGGAGATGATCCTGCTTTTGCTGAGACTCTTTGACATAGAGAATACTAGAGGTTCCAAATTAAAGGATTAACTTGTTGCAGTTTAGATGAGGGTAAATAGGCCTAGGTTTAGGACAGTAAGGGTAGAGAGATTTTAAAAAGGAGAAGTTGAATGAAAGAGCAGCCACTGAAATAGAATTGACAGGATTTGGCAACAAATTGGGTTTGTGGTCAGATCCTAAAATGATTTCTTTACCTGCCTTAGCTCCCTAGGAATACAATCACAAAATGCCCAATCTTAAAGATTATCTAGGTCTGCACTGTCCAATAACACTCACAGCTAGCCACTAGCACTTACGGCTTTTGAGCACTAAGATGTGGCTAGTTCAAATTGAGATGTGAAATACTCATTTTTGGATTTCAAAGACTTAGGATATAACATTTTATTTATTTTTAAATATATTGTTATCGATTTCAGAGAGGAAGGGAGAGGGAGAGAGAGATAGAAACATCAGTGATGAGAGAGTATCATTGATTCGCTGCCTCCTGCACACCCCCTACTGGGGATCGAGCCCGCAACCCAGGCATGTACCCTTGACTGGAATCCGAGCGGGACCCTTCAGTCCACAGGCCGACGCTATAACTATTGAGCCACGCTGGCCAGGGTTGAGCCCTCCTTTTTCAAATGATAAACAAGCTTCTGGAAGCGGCCACGTGCTTCTCCACCTTCCGCAGCCCTGGGCGCAGCGCGGGCTCCCAGGCTCTGTCCTGCCCTCAGGCTGGGCCTCCGCCCAAGTGCTCCCCCAGTCTCCCTCCTCTTGTTCACGCTCCATTCCTTCGATTTTTTTTTTTAATTTTATTTCAGAGAGGAAGGGCAAGGGAGAGAGAGAAACATCAATGATGAGAGACAGTCATTGACTGGCTGCCTCCTGCACGCCCCCTACTGGGGATCGAGCCTGCAACCTGGACATGTGCCCTTGACTGGAATCCAACCCAGGACCTTCAGTCCGCAGGCTTCCTCTCTATCCACTGAACCAAACCAGCTAGGGCCCTTCGATTGTTATTACTACTTTTCTATTCTAAAGGTAAATTTTGAGATATTAATTAGTAATTAGGATTTTAAATATAATTAAAGCAAAATTCCGAATTGTCACTGTGATAAGTGTAATGTCATCATAGGCAGAAATGAAACTACTTTTTTCTGCAGAATCTAACCCATATCCATGAGATAGAACCTTAGATACTAGTAACAATTCACTTGTCTCACTAGAATAAATGTGTCTTGTTTTGTTTTTCTGAATACTCATCTGGGGGTATTTTCCCATTGATTTTTTAGGGAGAGGAGAAGAGAGAGGGAAAGACAGAGAGAAACACATCCGTTGGTGGCCGCCTGCATGAGCCCTGAGGACCGGGGAGGAGCCTGCAACCGAGGGACATGCCCTTGACAGAATCGTATCTGGGACCCCTTGGTCCGTAGGCTGATGCTCTATCCACTGAGCCAGACAGGCTAGGGCTAACATATTTTATATTGATTATATGTTGAAATGATAATTTAACATTGTTAAATTATATTAAATTTTTATGTTTTTACTTTTTAAATAATAGAAAATTTTAAAATACTAACGTGGCTTGCATTATATTTCTATTGAACAGCACTATTCTAGAATATTGGTTCTCAACATACTGCTCATACATTAGAATTACTTGGCAAGCTTTTAAGATTATTGGACTCCTCAGATATTCTAATTTTAGAATTTCTGAAGGTAGGGCCCTGTATATATGCTTTGATATAGCTCCCCAGGTAATTCTAATGTCTTATATCCCCACTGAGAACCATCAACCAAGTATAGAGAGGAAACAGTCCTAAACAGTAAAATTTCCATTTCAGTATGTTCTCATAGGGTTTGCCTAGGTTAAAATTTATGCTCTACTTCTTTCATAGTGATAGTTATTTTTCCATTGTCTGAAACAGTGGCTCTTGACCAAACCTTAAAGGTAGAATTGTGGCTGGTGTTAATTTAGTCATTTTAGGTTTTTGGCAACGGGTCATTTGGTGCTTTTCTAGAATACTGTGTCCTTGTCATAGTGATGATATTTGTGTCCTCAAAATTTCCTTCGATTTTTTTTTTTTAAATTTTATTTCAGAGAGGAAGGGCAAGGGAGAGAGAGAAACATCAATGATGAGAGACACTCATTGACTGGCTGCCTCCTGCACGCCCCCTACTGGGGATCGAGCCTGCAACCTGGACATGTGCCCTTGACTGGAATCCAACCCAGGACCTTCAGTGCAGGCTTCCCACGCCCCCTACTGGGGATCGAGCCTGCAACCTGGACATGTGCCCTTGACTGGAATCCAACCCAGGACCTTCAGTCCGCAGGCTTCCTCTATCCACTGAACCAAACCAGCTAGGGCCCTTCGATTCTTATAAGAGGCTTTATAAGCTCATTGTTGGTTTGTTGTGAATGCCTGGTAGTAATTTATCCTTGGTTATCTTAGAATAGTGGTTCTCAACCTGTGGGTCGCGACCCCTTTGGCAGTTGAATGACCCTTTCACAGGAGTCACCTAAGACCATCCTGCATATCAGATATTTACATTACAATTCATAACAGTAGCAACAGTATGAATTACATAATTACAGTTATGAAGTAGCAACGAAAATAATTTTATGGTTGGGTCACAACATGAGGAACTGTATTTAAAGGGCCAAAAGGTTGAGAACCACTGTCTTAGAAGTTCCTTTACACATTTCTAGATGGCCCAAGAAATTAGCAGTTAACCTTCTCAGCAGTTAACCTGTGATCTGAGGCTCCTCTTTGACTTGCCTTAGAGTAGAACATGTTCTAGCAACAGCTTTACTAACAGCATTCTTTATTTGTTCAGGGTTGTTGGGTAATGGACAAACATGCAAGTGTACACACGCAATCATAGGTAATGCCTATGATTTCAAGCTCAAATTAGAGCTCGTGATGGTGAGATATTTTATGATGTTTTATAAGTGGAAGCACTAAGGGATGCTTTAGTCTAACACTTCTCTATAATCTGGAAAGTTACGGAAAAGGACTAAACCAAAAAGCTTGTGTTCAGCCCCCATGCTGTTAACACCATTTTGGTAACTCTGAACAAGTCCTGTTACTCTCCATGCTGTGGTTTTCTCTGCTATAAAGTGGGAATGCTAAAGGAAGTGACCCCAGAGGATCTTGTTTAAGAATACCATGGTTTGGAAATTGATTTTCCTTCTTCATCGTTTGTTTTCTTACTAATTACTCTGTTTTTCTCTTTAAGGGTCAGATGACTTGTCTGCAAAACTGTGGGATGTGAGCACAGGGCAGTGCGTTTATGGCATACAGACCCATACTTGTGCAGCGGTGAAGTTTGATGAGCAGAAACTTGTGACAGGCTCCTTTGACAACACTGTGGCCTGCTGGGACTGGAGTTCCGGAGCCAGGACCCAGCACTTTCGGGGGCACACAGGGGCCGGTGGGTTGCCCTTTTCTAAGAGCTTACATATTTATTTTATTTTTTTTAAATTTCTTGCTCTTAGAATCTTTTTTTTAAAATATATTTTATTGAATTTTTTACAGAGAGGAAGGGAGAAGGATAGAGAGTTAGAAACATCGATGAGAGAGAAACATCGATCAGCTGCCTCCTGCACGCCCCTACTGGAGATGTGCCCACAGCCAAGGTACATGCCCTTGACCGGAATTGAACCCGGGACCCTTGAGTCTGCAGGCCAGTGCTCTATCCGCTGAGCCAAACCGGTTAGGGCCAAGAGTTTACATATTTTAACCTCATCCGTAAAGCCAGGAGCCAAGAATGTGATAACATTTTTGTTTTGTTTTTTAATTTAACTTGCACTCTCCTTTCTCAGTCATGACAATTAATCTCTTTATTCAAGTTATTATTTGGTATCTTTCCATGTCCCATTTTAAAACTCTTCTCTATCTATACACCTTTATGCTGTGAGGGGACAGTTTTTCTCTCCTATTTCTTTTATATCCTGTTGAACAGTCAGCCCCCTTTGCCTTTATCAGGTTCCTTACCTCCAAATTGAGTAAGTCCTACACTTACTGGTATATATTTAGTCTCCTTTATTTGTAGAAATAGAGCTAAAATCTTTTGGAGTGATAGTCATTCCAAATTTCTGTGATCTACATATACTATATTGAATTGGAGCTTGGTTGACAATTGATAACAAGCCACTGCCAAGAGATAAGATGAAAGAAACAGATACCTGAATATCCTATCTAATAAAAGAGAAACATGGTAATTGGCATACGACCGCTACCCTTCCCATTGGCTAATCAGGGCAATATGCAAATTAACTGCCAGCCAAGATGGCGGCCGGCAGCCAGGCA